ACTGCGAAGACATTGATATTTTCTTTTCACAGATGCGACGATCAAGGCGCAAGAAGGTAAAGTCACACAGTTAGGTAACCCACGCACCTGCCTTGCATGAAGGCCAGTGCACCCACCCCAGATACCACCACAGGCCTAGCTCGGAAGCAAACCGGGGAGAGCGCCGTTTGCTCCTCTGTGCGCCAGGGCCTTGCAGGAAACTCAGAGCAGATGGTTATCAGAGATCCACAGAAATCTCTGCCCTTTGATGCCTCCAGAGAGCCAGAAATCCCGGCCTCTCACCCCAACACCTCCTGAAGGAAGTTCATAGCCTTTGAGGGAGCACCGGGGTGGGAGGAGCATGGCAGGAGTGCGAGATCAGCTTTAGCTGTTTGTACAACTTTATTGTTCGCAGGCTGTGAAGCCGAGCCGCATGTCCTGGCCCTGGATAGAAAAAAATTAATGGTACCACCCGTGACAGGAGGTGGCTGTTTTCGAAGTTCCTCATGTGCCAGACACTCTGAACACTTTGCTTATCTCTTTCAACAATCCCAAGGGCCAATGCACTATTATTATTCATTCCCATTTGAAGGAAGAGAAAACAGAGTTTTGGTAACTTATGCAAGGCCACACAGTTAAGCTGTGAAATCAAGACGGGGGGGGGCGCGGCAGATTTATTAAGACATATTACAGTAAAATTCACATATTTTTTTGGCGGTACTGGGGTTTGAACTCAGGGCCTTCATTTGCTAGGTAGTGCTCTATTACTTGAGTCATACCTCCAACCCTTGTACTGGACAGTTCTATGAATTTTGAAAAACACAGGCGTGTAAGTACCATCACAACCAGAAGGCAGACTAGTTCTATCACCGCCTTTCCCCTCCAAAAATACAAACAAAAACAAAATAAATTCATCAGCGGTCATTGCTATCCTCCACTACTTCCCAGACAGCACTGGCTGTATTTTTACGTGTGACACAATGAGGTCCGGAGAGGGGAAGAAAAAGGATGCACGATGAATGAGGAGGGTTGGAGGGAGAAGGGGGGAGAGCGGGGGGGAGAGGGAACGAAGGGGAGAAGTAAGATCAGAAAAGCGGAGAGGTCGCGCGAAGAAGGTAGGTGGAGGGGTCGTAAAGAGTAGAGGAAAGTGAGCGTTGGGGTTTGCCTGAAGTCGTTCCAGGATTAACTGCACAAGATTCCGGGATTAAGACTTCTGGTATATGACTTGCAGAGTGTAGATTCCTGGGTCTACAGAGCTAATCTGCAGCAGTTGGGTGTGCACCCGGCCAAGGGAGGAAGCCCCCCTACTGTACGCAGGTACTTAACCAAGCACCCACTCCTGGGGCGGCTTAGGAACAAAGGAGTTCCGCATTCCGCAAATCTCAAGACGCGAGTAGAGAGAGAGACAGGCGGGATGGCTCGGAGCTTTAGGTCCGAATCCAGACCTGAGGGCCCAGAGCCTTGGCGCGCCGCGGCCCGCCAGTGCGGTTAATGAGTTACTCTGCTAGTTAATTCCCCCGCACGTCACATCGGTGCCGGTGGCGCGAACCTTCCCGGGAGCCTCAGGTCCGGGCGCATTAATTAGCATAGATTACCCAGCTCCCAGGGCTTCCGCATCGCCCCTGACTCGCCCGGAAACCCGCGTCTCCTTCCTGGGGTCCAAGCCGGTGGAGGGCCCGTGGGGTCTGGGGCTGAGGAATTGGACGTCCTGCTTACTTAAAAAATACGGGCACTGCAGCCGGCTGCTCCCTCACTCTCACCCACCTGCCCCGCCAGCCAGAGCTCCTGGGGCAATCCTGGCCCTGGAAGGGTAGTTTGCAAGAGGCAAGTGGACTGCGGAGGATGCCACAGGACCCGCTAAATGTCCCTGCCTGAAGCCACCTGGACTGGACTGAGGGGCCCAGTCTCCAGCCTGTGGACACTTCCAACATATCCACGTCAAAAGAGTGAAGGGTTCTGGGAGCACAGAGCACACGTTAAGTACTCAAGGCTGGCCATTTTAAAAGGCAGGAAATACCATTTAGTATCAAATAACATTGGGGTTTCCCTCAAGTTCCCAGTCAAGACAGGTTCACCTACAGCTCAAGGTCAATGACTGTATACCCCCAACTAAGATCACTAACCTTAACTGCAATAAAGCGCCATCTTCTGCCCCCACAATCAGGTCAAGGCTCTTAATGGCCCTGGTTTAGAGCCCTGGAGTCTCAGGCCCAGTGTGGAGGCCTAGCTTCACCCTCCATTCCTCCTACACAGGAGCGCACAGAGCCAGGGATCCGGACTTGGGTGTTTGCTTCCAGTCTCAGAGCCACTCAGGGTTTACCCCTCACTCCACCCGGGCTCTATCTCCTCAGCCCCATCCAGGGAGAGAGTTCTCAGCTGGAGACAATATTTGGGGGGGATGATGGCTCAGGCCTGAGGAAAGTGTGGCCTTCGAATGCACCCATTCCAAGAGGCTGGATTCAATGGCCAGAATCTTTGGGCTTGGCAAAAATGGGTACCAAAGCCAGGCAATCTGGAAGAATGGATGAAAACTGGACCAGGACCCCAGCCTGGAGCTGGTGGTGCAGAGGTCTGAAGCCTGGGGCAGTGGTGTATTTCTCCACGGAGAGGACAAAGCTGAGGTTCGCACCTGTCTCCTGTGTAAATGTGTGTGTGTGTGTACACGTATCCACGCGTGGGCGTGCGGTGTACCCTGGGATGGTTGGGGAAGGTGGCAACACGATGATCTCTGTGGACTCCAAGCTAATCCGTCTGGAGCCCTAGCACCATCAGAAAACATCTCTCCTGATTCCTCTTCTGCCTAGAAGGTTCTCCAAGGGGTTTTCCGACATCTCCTGCTCCCCAATACAACACTAGACCTGGAATAAAGTGGAGAAATTGACACATCCACACACACAGCTGCAGAGGAAGGGGACAGGGAAGACAGAGGGCAAGGGAAGGGGTCCTTGGAGAAGCCCAGGAGCCTGTCCTAAGACCCACCCCCTTGGCTGAATCCACTATCCTTGTAGCCTCTGCTGGGGGGTGGGGGGGCTAAGCTTCTCTCTCCTCCGGATTGACTTCTCCGGGGTCTCACAGCAACCCAGTCACGAATACAGGCATTTCTTCCTCTTTAAGATTAATGACATGGGCCTTGGGAGTAATAGATTTAAAGGACGCCAGAAATTTTTTTTATCATTAATTGTAAACGTGCAAAATACCTGCTGGTACTTCACTTTAGAAGAATGTAATTGGCAAAAGAAAAAAAAAAGAGGAAAAAAGAGGCGGCTGATGAATAGATAATAGATCTTTAACCACCAATAAACAGAGAGCAGCGCCAGCAGCCTAGGGGATGTGATCATAATTATGCCGCTGCGCGAGCCAATGGGGAAGAGAGAAATCGGCCCTAAAATCATCCCAAAACCGAAGGCGAGCTCGAAAATGCGGACACGGCCTGGGACCGGAGATGCGATCCGCAGTCCCTACTTGAGAATCCTGGGTTTGCACAGCAACCCAGCCCTGGGACAACAGATGACAGGATAATAATAGAAATAATAATAATAGCAGCAATAAAATAACAATGTCAACACTAATAATAACGAAAACGGAACGATAATAGTTGCAGCGCACCTTCCTCTCCCCTCACCTTGGACCCCTGTCCCAGACGTCCCAGAAAGAACTCTTTGGGGGAAGGAGGTGAGCACCCTCCTGACAGAAAGAGCAGAGCCTGTGGGGGAGAGCGGGCGCGAGTTGGAAGCCCATCGTCCGGCACGGTTGGCCGCTCAGGTCTCAACTTGCAAACGGTCCAGCCGGGTCAAGGATTGCGGCGCGCGGACCCTGGGACCTCGAAGCTACGCGTGGTTGGAGGGGTGGGAGGAACCCCCCCCCCGCCCCGCTGCGCGCCTAGGAAACCGCCCGGAGTTTTGCTGGGGGTGGGGATTGGTATAAGCGAACCGCGCGTTTAGCTCTCTCCCGGAACCAGTCCCCGCCCGCTTACCCTCGCGGCGCTCCCGGAGCAATCTCAGTGTCCCCGACGCGGGGACGCGGGGACAACAACCTCGGAGCTCTGGGCGTCAGGAATCTGCGTGTCTGTCTGTCCGTCTGTCCTACCAGGTCCCTCGTGCAGGCTTGGGATCCAGGGGGCCGCAGCGAAGGCGGCGCCGGCCAGGGACTCTGAAGGGACCGGGGTGCCCCGGAGGGAGTGGTGGTGGTAGAGGAGGAGGCGGTGGCTGAGGGGGAGGAGGTGGGGAAAGAGGAGGAGGAAGAAGAGGAGGAGGAGAAGAAGGAGGAAGAGGAGGAGGAGGAGAAGAGAAGGAACCGGAAAGAGAGGGCGAGAGAGAAGGAGAAGCGGCGCCGGGACGATTGAGCTCGGAGCGCGGGGCGAAGGCGCGGAGAGGTCCGGCGGCGGGGCGGGCGGCTGGAGGCCCAGCCCGGGCAGCGGCGCCGACTCCGTTCCACTCTCGGCCCGGATCCAGGCCTCCGGGTTCCCAGGCGCTCGCCTCCCTCTGACGCACTTTAAAGAGTCTCCCCCCTTCCACCTCAGGGCGAGTAATAGCGACCAATCATCAAGCCATTTACCAGGCTTCGGAGGAAGCTGTTTATGTGATCCTTGCACTAATTAGGCTCATGAACTAACAAATCGTTTGCACAACTTGTGAAGAAGCGAACACTTCCATGGATTGTCCTTGGACTTAGGGCGCCCTGCCCGCCTTTTGCAGAGGAGAGAAAACTTTTTTTTGCCTCCCCCAAGAAACTTTCCCCCCCCTCTCGTCCCTGTCTCTAACTCCAACCTTCCCCCCCACCAACGCCATCTCGCCAAAAAAAATTATTATCCCCAATCCACGCCTGCAAATTCTTCTGGAAGGATTTTTTCCCCCTTCTCTCCAGGTTGAGCGAGTTTGGTGCAAGATTCTCGGGATCTTCAGCTTTGCCTCTCCTCCCCCTCCCCCCCTCCTTTCCTTTTTCCTTTCCTTTCTTTCTTCCTTTCCTCCCCCCACCCCCACCTCAAACAAACGCGCCCCCAATTCTCGTCGGTCCTCGCCGCAGGCAGCGGTCGCCGGGAGCAGGGAGCCCAGGGCGCCCGCTCCTCGGCCCAGCATGTTTCAGCCGGCGCCCAAGCGCTGCTTCACCATCGAGTCGCTGGTGGCCAAGGACAGTCCCCTGCCCGCCTCGCGCTCCGAGGACCCCATTCGTCCCGCGGCGCTCAGCTACGCCAACTCCAGCCCCATAAATCCGTTCCTCAACGGCTTCCACTCGGCCGCCGCCGCCGCCGCCGCGGGCAGGGGCGTCTACTCCAACCCGGACTTGGTGTTCGCCGAGGCGGTCTCGCACCCGCCCAACCCTGCCGTGCCAGTGCACCCGGTGCCGCCGCCGCACGCCTTGGCCGCCCACCCCCTGCCCTCCTCGCACTCGCCACACCCCCTCTTCGCCTCGCAGCAGCGGGACCCGTCCACCTTCTACCCCTGGCTCATCCACCGCTACAGATATCTGGGTCATCGCTTCCAAGGTACGTGCCACGTCGCGGAACTGCAGCGCGCGGCTACCGCCGCATCTTTCGCCGCGCCCGGCCTGCTCCGGGTGGGCGCTTGGCAAGGCCTGGGCGGAGGACCCTCCCCGTGCTCTCGGTTCGGAAACCCGGCAGCGAGGGGCCGGCGCGGTGTTGATCTCCAGTTTTTCATGCTACTGGCTGTTTTGGGGTGCTGGCCTGCTGGCCGCTTGACGCGGGCGCGGACGAGTTTGTGCGAAGTGTGCTCGGGACGAGGGCGGCTGTCCTGCGTGCCCGCCACCAGGGAACCAGTTCAGAGCCCGCAGGGTCCCCAACTCCTGGTCCCCTCGGGGATGTCCCCAGCCGCGCTAGCTCCGAGGGGTGAGGGTTGGACCCGGCCATCAGGTTCACCTTCGACTGTGTTGACTCTGTTCGCCACCCGCTCCACGCCCCTTCAGCCCAGACCAGCGACTTCTTGGTGTTCGACCCTTTTATGGAGACTAGGGGATTTTCGCTACCGTGGAGCAAAGTGTTTCTGTCCTCCCGCTTTTTTGGAGGCCCAGAAAGGGGCCGGAACAGAGCGGGTAACCCCCTCCCCCCGCCCGCCCCGGGGCTCGGCTCTCTCGCAGCGACCTGCTTAATTGGAGCACCAAGCAGCCGGGGCGGGAAGCCAGGTTCGGTTTGATTTTTTGTTTTTCTTTCTTTTAAAAGAAATGAACTATGTCGGGAGATGGCCTAGGAGAGGATCTGTTTGGGTACCTTCATTTTTTGCTGTTTTAAAATTTTGTTTTCCTCTGGGTGGGGGTTGAGAGGAAAGTTAAAACTTCGGAAAAAGAAGCGAGTTATAGTTTACCGATCCAAGTCTCTGGAAGACCTGCTTGGGGGCAGCCGATCGATACTCAGAGGCTGGTCCATTTATTAACTCTTTCTTTGCATTCCTACCGGAGCCTAGAATCGGATAGATGTCACCCTCTCCCAATTATTAAAACAAAACAAAACAACCTCAAACCCTAAAACCATTCCCTCTTAGTCCTGGACTGAACTCTCCTCCATTCCTGCCTGGACTGTCTTGTTTCTCTTTGTTTGGGTTTTTAGTGAATCGGTTTCCTACTCTATGAGTGAACCGAACTACTCTGGCTTTACTCGCAAAGTTTACAGCTCCCCTTCCTCGTTCTCTGTCAGCCACACTCTTGGTCACTTCACCAGATCTGGAGCAGCCTATGTTCGCGGCTGCAGACAGTTCCCGAGGGTAGCCGCAACACGGTAACCCTTGGGTTTCGATCCCTTCGCTCGCGTCTCTGTCCTAGTTCTCTGGAACCGGGGAGCACCAGAGCCGTGTCCTTCAGAGGTAGCAGCGGTAGAAGCCGGGCACACTCGCTGCGAGATTTCTGTCTCGGTCCGGCTGCAACGACTCGCCCGGCCTCTGTACTTTCCCCAGCGAGGTATCAAAACAAACAAAAATGTTTTTTTAAATAAGTCCGCGAGCAAACTATGGGTAACGGCCCGCCGCCTCTCCACTTTGGGGTCAAAGTTTCCGCGCGAGGTTAGAAAAAAGAGCCTTTTTGGGAGGCGGTGGGGGCCAATCTTCCAGCCGGGCTATGACACCCCTGCCCCTGCCCCAGGCGCCGGGTTAGAAGGTGGCAAGGCGCTCAGACCCGGCCTTCAGCAAAGGGCCCGACTAATAGTTCCACGCTAGGGACTCTGGATTTATAATTTCTAGGTGCCCAGCTTTGTGGAGCTTCAGCAAGCGGCTGGAGACTCAATTGAGGGGTTCGGGTTTAAGGCTGGAGAGGTTAAGAAATAGGCCGAGAGTGAGTTTTGAGAGACTCTAGGCCCATGGCTCCTTTCTTGGGCCCCAGTTACTTCCCTCGAGGGGATGGGAGAATCCGAAGCCGGAGGCCAGGCGTGCTGGGTTACACCCGAAATCAGAGCAATAACGCTGGAAGGCTGCAGAGAGAGCCCGCCTCAGGAGACAGGCCCCTCTGCGCACAGGGGCCAGAGGTGGGCCTGGCTTAGAGCTTTTACCAGGGCGTGGAGGGTGCTTAGGCCTACTGTAGCGCCTACTGTACAGAGCCAAAGGGTGGGGGTCAGAGTTCCCAGTAAACAGTAACGTTTTCGGGTAGATTAAATTGTAACATTTTTTTCTGGGAAGCGCAAAAAGGTCGAGGCTTTTGTTTTTAAAACGCACCTCCTCCCCAAACCGAACTGGGCCTGGCGGGTTTGTGCGGGGCTGGCACAAGGCGAGGCCAGCCTGATTTCTCTCGGACAGCTCAGGCGGCGGTGGTCTTTGTCCGCCTCGCTGCCCACGCTGCCTGGAGTCTTTGTGTGCGTGTCAAGCCCCGAGCGCACCGACGCGCGCCCTGGGCGAGCGCCGGGGAGAAATGAACCGTCCTCCCCCTCAATTAGCAAACTCAAAGCAAATTAAACTCAGCCTTGTTCCCCCTCTGTTGTTTTTCATGGGGCACTTTGGGGGACGGGAGCATTGGGGAGAGCAAGCCGGACCCTGTGGCAGTCTTAAAGGAGGGAGTAGAAGGGGACCTCAGAGGTCCAGGGGCTTGGACTAGACTGGGGACACTGCTGTCGGGACAGAAAGGCCAAGAATGTGGACTGACTTCCTTGCTCCTTACCCCGCTGCTGGCAGGCTTGGATAGTGTTACTGTCTGGTCTGGTTGCTGAATGGGGACCCACCACCCCACTTCTCAGGGGGCCATCAGATCACAGCAGACTTCAACCTCATTTCTCCACAGACTTCTAGCATCCACTCTGGAGAGGCCAGGCTGCCAGTCCCACCTTGGCCCAGCCACAGGTTGACCCTGGCCTGTTCTGGTGCTGGACTGGAGGAAAGATCGGACACTCTCTCTGTTCTTCCTTCTTGTCAGTTTCTGTCAGTTTCTCTGCTACTTCCCTTCTACCCCAGTCTGTGGGAAGCTTTCACTTTTGAACCTCTTTATCTAGCTGGAAAGGAATAGCAGGGCTGGACCTGTGACCTGTGTATCCAAAGCCCTCCTCACTTCCTCCTGCCCCATTCTGATCCTACTTACCTGGGAGAGTCCCTGAGAAGAGCCTTGGCTCCGGCAAGCTTTGATCCTCTACCCAGGGCCTCTGCCTTGCAAAGGAGGCACTATATTTAGGCAGTTTCAGAGAGGCAGAAAATAGAAAGCACATTGGGCCCTTTGGAAACACAGCCGCCTGACGGAGGTCTTTCCTGGGGTTGCTGGAGGAATTAGGAACATGTCTTTTCATATTTTTCCTTTTCTTTTTATAGGGGTTCCCATGCTTTGCAAGACTTTTGCTCTCAGTGGGATGTGGGTGCCCTGCGTAGGGCCAGGTGAAAAAGGACTCAGAGCACTTGTGGGCCTTGGGCCCTGGGGAAAGGCTCCCTAGTAGGGCTGGGAAGGAAGGGCAGTGAGCCGGCAGCTGGGCTCCTACCTTCAGCCCTAGAGCTCCTGCTCTCTGAGGGAGGGAGGCCATAGAGTGGCCGGCCCTCTGGATATGCATGGAAGATTGGGCTTTCTCACTCTTGGACTGTGGTCTGAGTTGGGGAAGGGTTCAGGCACTTGGCAGGAGGGTGCTGTGAAAATCTAATGTGCCCTACCTGCCTCTCCTGCAGGTAAAAGTATGGTTTCAGAACCGGAGGACGAAGTTCAAAAGGCAGAAGCTGGAGGAAGAAGGCTCAGATTCGCAACAAAAGAAAAAAGGGACACACCATATTAACCGGTGGAGAATTGCCACTAAGCAGGCGAGTCCGGAGGAAATAGACGTGACCTCAGACGATTAAAAACACAAACCTAACCCCATACAAACGGACAACATGGAGCAAAACAGACAGGGAGAGGAGGGGAAGATGGAAAAAAAAACCCTACAAAACAAAAACAAACTGCAACACATTGAGAAAGGGAGAGGGGATCAGAGAGCAACGGTGTGCGGACAGCGAAGGTGCTGGGTCCCAACCAGAGACCGCACTGGGATGGCAGAGGACCTCTGCTCCTTCATCAACACGAAACCCTCGTCTAAAGAGGCAGCTGAGTGAGTGAGTGAGTGAGTGAGTGAGACAGAGAGAGGGAGGGAGAGAGAGAGAGAGAGGGAGAGAGGGAGGGAGGGCGGGAGAGAGAGAGCGCCAACGCGAGAAAGAGAAAGAGAGCAATTCCAATGTGATCCAATGTGGCAGAGCCGAGGGTGTACTCTGACAAGGGGAGCTGTCAGTCAAACGCCAGATCAGGGAGACTAGATGCTTGACAGGTACTCCGTTTATCGCAGTCCACTTAAAAGGATGATAATAGTGATTAAAAAAAAAAACCAAACCCAACCAGGCACAGGACTTTTAATTTTGCACTTCACAGTGTTTTTCCCCAATCTTTAAAAATAATTAGTAATAACAAGCGAAATTCCACATCTAGCCCCATCCCATCCCTGTTTCAAAAAACTTGAATTGCATGTAGCAGTTGTTGGGCGAATGGTGTCTAAAGACAAAATGAATTGTAATTTTATTTGCCTTTTAAAGACAGGTTCTGTGTGTTTTTTGTTTTGATTTTTTCTGAGAAACGTGCAGTCTGTAAACATTTTTGATACCTTCTGATGTCAAAGTGATTGTGAAAGCTAAATGAAGTAGGCTTGGAGATAGTGGTCCTCTTACAGAGAAACGGGGAGCAGGACTGGAATGGGGGTGGTGCGGGAGGGTGCCCACAAGAAGAATCAGGACTTGTGCTTGGGAATAAAAACCCTAAATTCATTATATTTCTTGGACATTCCCTTTCCTAACATTCTGAGGCTTAAAACCATGGAATAAACTCCTTTTAGTGGTTGGAGAAATCGGCTGAGTTCAAACACTCACCTTAATGGCTATTCGAAACTTTCAATCTACCTATTGCAAAAACTGAAGGACTGTGGTTTTGGGGATGGTGGTAGTATGGCCAAGGACATGAGGCAAGATTTCAAGCACTGAGTTTCTCTTCCAAGACCATAGACTTACTAAAGAGAGTGACAATGCTTCCTTAATGTCTTCTATACCAGAATGTAAATATTTTTGTGTTTTGTGTTAATTTGTTAGAATTCTAACACACTATATACTTCCAAGAAGTATGTCAATGTCAATATTTTGTCAATAAAGATTTATCAATATGCCCTCAGAGTAGTTGTCGTGGGAAATTGAAGTGGATCTTTACAAAAAGTATCTCTATAATTTGAGTGTGGTCCTTCCCTAACTGGGCTCAAGAAACCCCAATTCACCATCAACAAAAGGGCCAGGCTGATGTCTTTTGGGACATTTTAAAGAGAGATGAGAGAGGAAGGGAGAAGATTAGGACAACTAAAGTCTTTTAGCAAAAGGAAGACAGAAAAATTTTCCAAGTAGACTTGTCTGTTGGTTGCATGTCCTACCAGGGAGTTTAGTTTCAACTTTATGTTAAAAATGCTTACTTCTCTTGAACTTTTTTTTAAACTTAGAATATAGTTATGAATTGGGGAAAGCACTCAGCAGAATTCAGAATCCTGGGACTTCTAAACTTTGTTTCTGACTTCAAACTCCTTAAGTATAAGTCTCCCCACCCCAACCCGCCCCTTTCTCTCCCTTCCTTCCTTCCTCCCTTCCTTCCTTCCTCCCTCCCTTCCTTCTCTCCCTCCCTCCCTTCCTTCTCTCCCTCCCTCCCTTCCTTCTCTCCCTCCCTCCCTTTCTTCCTCCCTCCCTTCCTTCTCTCCCTCCCTCCCACCCTACTTCCATCCCTCCCTTCCTTCCTTCCTTCCTTCCTTCCCTCCTTTCTTTCTTTCTTCTCTCTCTGGTCCCAATCTGCCAAAGGTGATGGGATGAGTACAAAGCCTCCCCTCCCACCTTATAAGGCAAGCATTTGGGAAACCTTCAACTCTTAATTTTAACATTAAAGAAAAAGTTGTAACCATTCTTGGAGGAAACTTAGCTTTTTTTCCCTCCCTCCTTCCCCCTTCTGGGGGTATGAGGTTGTTTTTGCATGCTTCATTTGCTTCTTATCCTGATAGGCTGCATTAATCAGTTTTATTTCCATTGATAGAGAAACCTCGTCTGTTCTGTTCGAGCTACAAAGCGTCCTGCGAGCTTTTGTGAAAGTGCAAATCAGTTTAAGCAATTATCATACCAGGAATATGAAGGGGAAAGAGGAGGCCTTGCCCAGTGGTCTCCTTTAATCTCTTAATCCAGGGATCCAGGGGGGCTGCCTGGACATAATTTAGGACAATCTCCCCACCCTTTACACTGTGATAAGGCCAAGTTACAATGCAGGGCAAAAATACAAGCTTTGTTAACATCCTGCCTTGAAAAGTTAAGATCAGACATTCTGTGCACGTGTGAGGACTACAGGGCACTATGGAAATGTTTTTCTTTCTATTTTTCCTTCCCTGCTCCAAAGCAGAATTCATTTTCTGTCTCTCTCCCTCTTTTTGCACCCTTCACCTCTGTCTGTCTCCTCCTTTCCTCTCTGGCTCTATTTCTCTCTACACTGGGCTGCTCAGAGTTCCTTCTCACACAAACTCCTCTTGGAGAGTGTGTGTTGTGGGTATGCCAGGGTGACAAGGGTGGCTTCAGAGAAGCCTGCACTTGCCTCATGCAAGGACAGGTGCAGGGTATCTGGGAAACCTGCGTGGGGCTTTCAGCTGCTTCTATGTGGGGACTCTCAGAGAGTGTTACCTGTCCATAATGTTTGGCAGGCCTGCTCCCCAACTGCAACCTTTTCTCTTCAAGGAGAGCAAGATACCCTTTCTTTCCATCACCTTACAAAACCTGCAATACCTCAGGCATGGAGCATAAAAATTCAGACTGACCTTCCAGAAAAAAAAATGCAATCCTGTTAAAAGGCTACTGTCTGCAGGAACCATATACTTATTTTTTTTAACTACAAGAAAGGGGTGTAGTTTTTTCTTTTTTTTGGTAAATGTCCTATGTAGTGTAACAGCAATAAAATCATCAGAGAATACTATTAGCTTTGAGAGAGAAAAAAAAACCTAAAAGCTTTATTACAAACCAAGCTTTGAAAATAGGGGGGATTAAGAGGCTGAAAGGGTCCCGCAACGGTGAGAAGAAAAGGTTTCATGCTGATGAGGTTAATACCCTTTGTATCTCGGGCCTCCACGTCTTCATTACGCGCTATCTGCGGCTGCACGGAGCGGCTCAGAGAGCCGCAATCCACTCCAACACCCCCCTTCCCGGCCCAAAGAAGGATTTGATAGCAGCTCTGTTCAAACTAGATAATTATATCTTTTCAAGTCGGAATTAAGATAAAGAAAGTGAAGCAGAGGCGGCTCGCCTTGATCCACTGCAAACAAATTTGGCGCACTTTCGAGTCCTTCCCCCGCCTCAAAAAGGCAGGACAGTCAGCTTATTAGCCGCTCGTTTGCTTTATTAATTCATCTATTTAAAGTGGCAGGATTAGAGCGTCTAATGTGGACGCGGGCTGTCGTGGCGCTGAGGAATATAAATATTTGCGGGATGCCATCCCACGATGACTATCTGGGCGTGGGGCTCCGGGCAGGGTGCGCGGGGCGCGTGTGCTCCGCGGCTGCATCCCCTTTGCGATGTGCGCGTGCTTGGCTGGAGCCCCTCTGAGCAGGGGTGGATGGGAGCTGTGTGCCCCCTTGTGTTACGTGGGTGCCAGGCCCTGGGCAGGGCTCTATGGGCATCGTGGGCCGGGCTGTGCGCTCCTCCCAGCCCAAGGCTAACTGTATGCATGTTGCCATGGGTCTTGCCTGTGACCCCGAATGGTGATGTAGGTTACAAGTTTGGTTCCTGTCCCTTGTCGGTTACTTCCTTCCCTGTGAGTCCTTTTGTGCGGAGTGCATGTTCAGGAGACGCGGGTTCTCAGTTTGCATTACCCCGAGAGGGTCAAAAGGAATATACCACGCAAGTGAGCCGTGGCTGCGTTCTCCTGAGAGGTACATGTGGACTCCGTGTGCTTGTCTCGCTTCAGAACCTGTTCCTTTGCGAAGGCGCACGAAATGTCTTGGTGGAGGTGGGGTGGGGGGGGGGCAGAAGCCTTGCTACTCCGGCAGTTCCTAGCGCTGCTTTTGGGGTCCCAGTAACCTGGGCCTCTACTCCTGGCAGCTAAGCCGAGCCGGAGCGGGCGCGTTGGCTGCGGCCCGGAACCTGCCGGGCCACTTTTGTGCTAGGGGCGGATTGTGGCAGCCGGAGAGGCCCGCCAAGCGGGCCAGGCAGAAAGGGGGCTCAGGCCCGCGCGCGGCTTTGGAAACCTCGGCTCCTCCCAGTCCCCGCCTTGAGTCGCAAGAAACAAAGTCCTGGACGCACCGGCCTGTTAGGGAGGGATTCTGGCGGTTCGGAGGCCTGGCCGGGAGCCCGCGCCTTGGTGTGGGGAGATGATTCTGGCTGCCCACATGTGGGCGGTTGCAAGTCATATAAGGGCGAGTTAGGATGAGGGTCTGGGATTGTGTATTTGCACAAGGTGCGTGTACTTGTCTGTGTTGCAGAGGTGTTTGTGGATTGTGGAGATGCAATTGTGTGTCTAAAGTCAGCGTGTGTCGGTGTTGATTGTTTTGAGTCAGAGTCTGCGAGGATTCCTGCATACATTGTGCGAGTGGCCAAAATGCCTTTTCCTTGTGCATCTAGAGCGTTTTGAGTTAGGGCAGGAACTTGCAGTTGTGGGGTTGAGGAGCGCCCATAAAGGTGGGAACATGCCGTTTATTGAATTTGAGCCTCAGCGTCTGGTTGCAGCGTGTGGATTCGCTGAAGTTGGCATCTC